TCTTGAGGGGCAGAAATTGATCTGTAGGACAGAACATCTTTGTAAGTTCTTTCATTCATCAATACCTAAAATTCTGACAAAATGCCACCATTAATGGTTCAAAGAACACTATCTGCAAATAAAAAAAATAAAAATAAAATCAAACATTGATTGAATGACAAAGTGGGCCTCTCAATTCTAATTTAAAAAAAAAGAAAAAAAGAAAAGAGGAAGAGCCCCACAAAATTATAATTATTAGAATTTATAAAGTTATAACTATTTCAGTATTTCTTAGTCTTCCTTCAAGACTTTTGAGGGGTACCATGAAGAATTAAATGTAAAATTTCATTTGATTGATTTGAAAGATTGTGATCTGATGTCTCTTGTCATTTCTGGAAAATTTTTGAAAATTTTCTAACCCACTGAAAGGAAAAAGAAAGAAAAAATCATATTTTCTAATTTGAACAGTAAAAATCATGATACATTTTTTATTTGTAGTGGGAGAGACTGTTATTGATTGGTCTAATCAATAATTCTGATATTAAAATTATGTATATTTTGCATCGTATAAAAATATACTTTGTTACTTTTATATTTTTCTTCTTTAAATTAGGTATGTTTCCTTTTTAGTTCATGAATGGCCCACTATTCATATTGGCATATTCTTTGATTAATTAGTCGTCAACCCATGTCCATACCCCTTGTGCTTTGGCTTTTAGAAAATCTAGAATAAGACTCCCGTCCCTTTCAAAACTATTCCCCCTTTTTATTATTATAATTAATTAATTATATATTATAATATCCATGAGTTGACCTAGTTTTATCTTCCAAAAATCCATAAATATTCCACATTTTTATTAAAAATATATATGATGTATAAGTTTATCAATTGATGGATGCTACTTGTTTGCAAATTCAACCATCAAAGATCTAATTAAGATAGATTTAATGAACTCCTTGTTTTTTTTTTTTTTTTTTTTTTTGTTTTTTGTGTAAATTTCAATTCAATGTAAATAAATTTGTCAACCTCTCAAGATTGTAGAAGAAATTTTTAAAAATAAAATCCGGCTCATATTAGGGTTTTGATTCATATTTATAAGTTAAAATTTTATTAAATTCATTTAATTCCAGTAAATTATTAAGATTGTACAAGAAATTTTGATTAAATAAAGTCAAGACTCTTATTCGAGTTTGAAGGGATTCAACTTATACTTATAATTAGTTTTGAGTAATCCAATGACAAGACTTTCACTATAGAAAAAGCAAGCTAATTAATTCATAAACCAAACTTTAATTTTAGTGGTAAAATTAAGTTGATAAGAACAAGAGACTAAAAGACATTGAATGAGAAAGTGCAAAATAAAGTGGGAGACAAAATAAAGGAGTGAGTGCAAAATAATTTTACTGTGAACAAATTAATAAGAATTTTCTGAGTGGGAGACAACTAATATCAATGTTGATAAGAACAATTGAAAATTTCATCAACACCTTATTTATATTCCTTTTAATTTAATTTCTGTATTAAGTCATATGTAAGGACCTATCCTTGTCACCTTTCTTTTAATTTATATTTGACTTAGAAAATTTGAAATTAGCTTCTTCTTATTCTGTTTTAGTTTCACAGCCTTTGAATGACTCTTAATTTTATTCTTTATTATAATTATAGATCAACTCTAGTTTAAGTTGCAAATAACCCCATATGGATTATCCTCAAATTAAGTAATTTTTTATTTATTATTTAAACATTATGTTGAATTAATATGTATATATATTCTTTTAAAATATTATTACGTAATAGAAATTGTAAAGTGGCTATGATTATGTATTTACATATTCTCACTCTAAAAAGATATGACTATGATATCATTAAAGATTATTGAATTGATATTAAGTGGCGGTAACTATTTTTCATGATGTTATGTATACATCACATCTTTAAAGATTTAGTATTTTTTGGAGTTTATGACTGGAAGTTCTGAAATGCATCTATCCTTGGAGTACGTTTCGTTCTACAGTAGTCCTCAGAGTGTTATTGACAAGTGCTACCGTTTGGTTAAATAGTTGTGGTTCTGAGACAATACAGTGCTACCAAAAAAAGAGTTGCTGATTGATTTTTTTTGTTCAATTGAGGAGGTTTTGTTTAAGGGTATGAGAAAGAGTGTAATAGAGAAGTGGACAAGTGTATAGGTTTTGTTATAACGCACATGTATATAAAAATAAAATAAAATCAACGAAACTAGGTAAATAAAAAATTAGCTAAGATTAATTAATCATCTAAAAAAAAAAAAAAACTGATTAATCATCTCCTAATCTGTACACCAAAAAGCCTAAATCCTTTGCTCTGATGAACATCCGAATTTAAAACTTTCTTCTTCTTCTTCTTCTTCTCAATATTATTATTTTGCTCCAATTGCAGTTGAGTTTCAATCCCTATTTCAGTGTGTTGTATCACATCAAGTAAAAAGAAATTTTGCCCTTCTTCTTTCCCACTATTATTTGTGCACTTACAAAGATAAAAAGTAATTATATCTTTTTCCTTCAATTCCTTCTGAAATAGTTGCCTGCATGAGAATTGTTCATCTCCATGCACCATTATTTGGTTGAGACTTGCAGTTCCACCACCACTGTAATTTTGATGTTCTCTTTGAGATTGAATTCGGAGAAAAGAGGCGGATTCCGGATGGTATGTTCCATCTCTAATCATGTTTAAAATTGCTTCTACTGTGAACTGGTTTTGGAAATTCGGTTCCTGGTTGTTGCTGTCTGTCAATGGGAAATTTCGATGTGAATCGTTACCGCGAATCTTTATTGCTGCGCTGTCATATGCCATAGCTGCCTCTTTCTCTGATTTGAATGTGCCTAGCCAGATTATTTGGTGGTTAGCATAAATTTGTGCTCCCCAATGTCCATTTTGTTGTGGCATTACTCCTTTAAATTTCGCTGCCGACACTCATTTTGTTATTATTATTATTATTCCTGTTGTGATACTGATGGTGATGGTGATGGTGGTGATCGTGCTTCATGCGCTTGCAAGGAGGCAAAGTTGTACAAGAACTGTTGTTCGAATATGAAGTTTCACCATTCTTGTATATTTTCGCGTTTGAAACCATGCTCGATGCATCTTCTTCCATCGAAATATTAAAATTTATGTACGAATATCGGTTTGATAAGATGATTAAAGAAGTGATGATAGAGATTATAAGTTGAAGGGAAGCGAAGGAGAAGATGATTTTATATAAAGAAAGAGATTGAAAGAATTATAAAACTTGTGGAAATCTGGTAATTAGAAGATAATAATCTGTTGCATGAAAATGGTAATGTGCTTTTACTTGGAAGGTGGAGAGTTCAAAAGAATAAACAAAATTAGGTTAATGTGATAAAAACGGACAGCAAAAATTAAAGCAAAATTACTATCCAAAAATCCTTTCATTCAGTAAATAAGAGAAAAGGTTAAAACAATTTTATTGTATCATAAACTGAAAGCTAAATGCTCTTTAAAATAGTTAAAAATATTCTCATATATTTTACAGTTAAGTGAATAAAATTCTTTTATTTATTTTCTTCTTTAAATTAGGTATGTTTGTTTTTAGCTTATGAAGTTTCAAAATAAAATCTGACTTATGTTCAAAACTTCATTTAATTCGAAAAAAATTAGTCCAATTAATCTAATTACAAGACTTACTCTGCTAAGCAAGCTAATAAATTAATGAACCAAACTTTAATTTTAGTGATAAAACGTAAAATCAAGTTGATAAGAACAAGAGACTAAAAGAAACTTTAATTTACAGTTAACAAATTAATTTTAATTGTGGGAGATAACTTATATCAATATATTGATAAGAACAATTGAAAATTTCAATCAAAACTATTGAGAGAATACCCTTTTTACCAACACGAGATTCAAAACTCAATTGGAATGATGAAATTACCGTGGTTCAAGTGTTGAAAAACCCTAGGTTCATGTTGAGTTCCACTCTAAGCTCTTACTACACTGTTAAATGAAAGAATACAAACACACAAGATTTACAAACTCGCTTACTCATTAATTAGAGAATATTAGAGAAAACCATGAAAATGTAACCCCAAGAGCACTTGACACGGTTTACAATGATTTCCCTCACACGTACGCTCTCTCTAAACCTAAACTTCTTAATATTCTTCACCACCGTTCATTTTGTTTATCCCTTGATTGACATACCTTTATATACGTTTGTGGAAATAAATTCTTAATCACATCCAAACTCCGTTTAAAATTATATTNTTTTTTTTTTTTGTTAAGTAGTATCATTGGAAGAGAGAAATAATATACAAAAAGGCCATAAAAAACCGGTCATCCTACCTCGGGACAAGTCTTGGGTTAGGAACAAAAACACAAGCCTAAAAGATTGAAAAACTAATATTCTCTTGTTTGTCTATTCGAAGCATGCAGAGGATAAGAGAAGAGAGGAGAGGACCAAGCAAATGAACATAAAGACAAAGATATCATACCACATGACATGCCTTGGGATAGGATCCAAAAAATAAATACTTAAATACAACTATACACAACGTCATTCCTACCTCAAGACAGAAAGGTTGTTTCTTATTCTAGTAAGAAATGAAAGACAGTTGTAACATTGATAAAATGTAACACTTGTTGTTCAATTTATGAATAAATTAAAATATAACTTCAAAATGATTAAAAATATAATACAAATTTAATTTAATTACATTGATCAAACTAATTAACAGTGCTAGGTGTAATCAACAAGTACAACTAAGATCAGTAGTAACTAGTTATACTAGAATCTTAACCCTATTTGGCTTAGTTAATTAGCCAACATATACAACAATTCCAAATAATTCTTCCTTAATAACAAAATTATAATTAATCAAACCTCTAATTAACAATCTCTCCCAAACTTTCCAAACTTGGACCTTCTTTACGCAGCCATGCATGCATGGTTGTATTGATCAAGCCCAAAAATAATTATTCGACAAAGACTAATTAAATCAACAATTAGCTAAGATTAATTAATTAATCATCTCCTAATCTGTACACCAAAAAGCCTAAACCCTTTGCTCTCATGAAGATCCAAATTTGAAGCTTTATTATTCTTCTTCTCATGGTCATAATCTCTCAATTCTGACTCTGAATTATAGCTGAAACTATTATTTTTCCTAATATTATTATTATTTAGCTCCAATTGCAGCTGAGTTTCAAGCCCTAATTCAGTGTGTTGTATCACATCAACTAAAAAGAAATTTTGTCCCTCTTTTCCTCCATTACTATTTGTGCACTCACAATTATAAAATGTAATTATATCTTTTTCCTTCAATTTTTTCTCCTTCACAAATCTATTCCACCCTCTTGTAAATACATAACTCTGGCTGCTTCTCCAAAAACAATACCTGAATTTCCATGGCCTCATGTGCTTATCAAAAAACCCTAATTCTAAGTCATTAACTCCTCCATTGAGGGCATTATTTTCTTCTGCATTTTCACATATATATGGGAAATATTTTACTGCATATTTCTTTGGAATTACAAGTCTATTTAGCTTACCAACATCACTTGGAGTCAATTCCTTCTGAAATAATTGCCTGCATGAGAATTGTTCATCTCCATGCACTAATATTTGGTTGAGACTTGCAGTTCCACCATCAATGTAATTTTGATCTTCTCTTTGGGATTGAATTCGGACAAAATCGGCGAATTTCGGTTGGTATGTTCCATCTCTAATCATGTTTAAAATTGCCTCTTTGGTGAATTGGTTTTGGAAATTCGGTTCTTGGTTGTTGTTGTCTGTCCATGGGAAATTTCGTTGGGAATCGTCGCCGCGAATCTTCAGTGCGGCACTGTCATATGCCATTGCTGCTTCTTTCTCAGATTTGAATGTGCCTAGCCAGATTCTTTGGTGGTTGGCATAAATTTGGGCTCCCCAATGCCCATTCTGTTGTGGCACAACTCCTTTAAACTTCACCGACGACACATTATTATTATTGTTATTGTTGCTGTTGCTATTATTATTATTCCTGTTGTGATATTGTTGATGTTGACGCTGATGATGGTGGTGGTGGTCGTCGTGTTTCATGCGCTTGCAAGAAGGAAAAACTGTATACGAACTGTTGTTTGAATCCGAAGTGTCGCCATTCACGTACATTTTAGCATTCGAAACCATGCTTGATGCATCTTCTTCCATAAAAAATAAAGTACTAAAATTTATGTAATAGAGGATTCAATATTGGTTTGGTTAATAGTTAAAGATGTGATGATGATTATGATGAGTTGAACTGAAGCAAAAGAGAAGATGATTTTATATGAAGAGAAAGAGATTGAAAGTTAATTATAAAATTTTTGGAAATCTGGTATCAGAATATAATATTCTGTTGAAAATGGCAATGTGTTTCTATTTGGAAGGTGGAGAGTTTAAAAGAATCAACAAAATTAGGTTAATGTAATAAAATTGACAGCAACAATTGAAACAAAAATGCTTTCATTATTCCGCACTATGAAACTGTGGAAATTCTCAATTCCCAATTTCCAAAACTGGAACCGAACCCTAATGGCCCATTTTTGGTTCTGGGTAGAACGTTACCTATCCACCCCTATTTTGTAGCAGAGATCCGTAATGTTTGAAGGTTTCAGAAAGAGAGTACGTGTTTTGGTTTAAGGGGAGATATAAGTAGTAAAGTTGTGTTGTTTATACATGAGTATGTTTATTTTTGTATTGTGATATTGTTTTTAAAGGACTAAAGTGTCACATTTTTAAAATTTACAACTACCAGTTAATGCTGCGTTTAGGAGCAACGGCTAAGTTTAAAAAGTCGCCTGTTATGTTTATATAGTTGTTAATGAAAGTCAACTTCTTCTTCTTCGACTATTTTCTTGGTTTCTTGATTTTCTTCAATTCTAAACTCTTTCACAATGAAATAAATATATCTTGTTTAATGCAATGGTTGATAATAATTGTTGGGAAGGGTGATGGAGTTTCATGATGATGTTTTAGTCATTTAATGTATATAATGAAATCAATTAGTGATAACCTTCCATCCTGCAGGGCAAGTAGAACATGATTGTTATATGCAAAACCCTTTAAATCTTGATTTGCACGTTGTTCTTAGATGATATTTAGATATTTGTTTGATATGTATGTGAAGAACCTTCTCAACCCTAACAATGGTACCAAAAGTTGAAAATATGCACAACAAATGGGGATGGAAATTATTCAGATGATGATGTTGGTTAGGTTTGGGAAGGAATTTGTGCCTCTTCTCTCTTTTGTATAGAGCTTGCATGCTCTTTTCTTTTTTAGCGATGCCTATCTTTTTGTCTTGTTGTCGAAAAAGACAGACACTGGGCGGAGGCATTGTTTTAAAAATCGGACCATTCGTTGACCCGGTCAAGGGGTCGGTTCGTGGGTTGACCGGTATATAACATCCCATCTTTAAACAATTCCTAATTGTTATAGTTTGAAACCAGCAAATACATCCCTAAAATTTACCTATAAACCCCTGTGAGTTTAAATAAAGTAATACACCCTCAAGTTTATTATTAATTATTTTTTTTTTTTCCTTCCCCATCACTTCCATCTTGCACTTTCTTTTCTCTCTCCCCACAGGCCATCACTCTCCATCATTTTTCTTCTTTTTCCTTTTTTCTCTCTCCTCTCCCCATCACTCCCCGTCACTTTCTCTCATCTACTGTAATTTTTCTTCACTTTCTTCTTCTTCTCTTCTTCTCTTCATCTCCTTTTTTTTCTTCTAATCTTCTTCCTTACTCTTTCTCGTGTCTCCTCTTCTCTTTCTTCTTCCTTCCCCTCCCCTTACTTCTTCTTCTTTACAATTGAAGATGAAAATGGAAGATAATGAAACGGTGCTGAAATTAGTTTAGGAATATGATTTATTTTGAATTAGACGAATTGTTTTAAGCCCCGGGCTAGTCAGATTGACGGTTTTGCACTGTCCGTCGGTCCATTACTAGTCCAAAACGGGTTTATGCCATTCCCGATTTTATGTAACCTGGACCGAAGTAAAGAAGGCTCCCAGGTTTTAAACAGAGGGAGGAGGTAATGATATGTACAATTTAGATTTTAACACACCCTAACATATTAATAGACAAAAATATTAATGTCAATTAGTTTTATTTTGGCCTACCCTAACAGAATTTAAGTATTGACAACACTCAAAATGGTGCCGTTTTGCCACTATTGTTAGCTTGCCAAAGTGCTATCGTTTTTCCTCTATTCAACACCAAAGGTTGTCGTTTCTACTCTACTATTCTTCCTTCTTCTCAAATGTATAAAAACGCAATTACTGTATTAGTTTGTTAATGAAAATAAAAGCAAAATTGAATTTGTCTTTTTCTTAATTTTCTCTGAAAATCTTTATTTTTCTTTCAAAGTCTTACATGGTATCAGAGCCAAAGACTAGCGTCAATGGCGAATCTTCATCCTCAAATACCTCTAACAATAATTTGAACAAGGAATGCAAAGACCTCTGTTACCTACTCTTCAGCCTTTCCATCCAGTCTTCAAATTCTTACTCCCAAGCTCACTTGAGATATTTACGTGATATCGCTTTTGAGTAACAAATTCTTTCTGCAGTAGGAGCACATGAGCTTGATGGTCAATTAACACGTTGTATCTCCTATCCAGAACTTTTAATTTCATCAGAACCTAAAATTTTAGTTGAGAAAATGTAGTTAGACCACATCTGAACCAAATTGAATGAACTTGGCACTACAAAACGTATTAATCTAGCTTATCTAGCTTGGAACATACTGATTAATTCTTGTTACATGTTTTTCGCATCTATTTCTGAATGCATGTTCAATTTAGTACCAAATGTCAACTTCTACTGATATTTGGTTTGTACTTGAAACAATTCCAAGTGACTCAAAGCTGAGCTCTACACTAAAAGTTTACTACAAAATACTCATAAAGAAAATTTTTCTATCAGTGATTTTTTAAGAAGATGAAAGTTATGTGAAAGCTTAAACTCTAGTGGTCAAAATGTACTACATGAAGATTTGCTTTAGCACATCCTTGATGGATTAGGATCGAAATTCCATGTTGCTGTTGTGAATTTAACATCTAGAGTAGAATCTAAATTTGATTATGTCACAATACAAAGGTGCAATATCTACTGCAAAATATGAAATGCAATTGAGAAGTTCAATTCTATTGATTTCTCAACAGTTCAGTCCATCTCATGCAATAAGTAACTCTAACACTCACCAATTGGAACATGTGGATCAAATGTTTGTTCTCACACTGTTAATGCTCCTCGGCTATATACTTGCATCAGCTGTAAATCCTATGACACCTCTCAGTTCATCAGAGCTATATCCACCCTATCCACCTCCTGCTCCTTGTCCACTCTAGCTAATTTTGTTGTCTCAGCTAGTCAACTTCTCATGTTGGACAAGGTGAACCACTTTAATAACTACAGAACACTAGGATTCAATAACTATAGCATAGGTCATGGAAAGGCAATGCTAAGGGGGAACTATCTATCAAGTATGTGGGAAAATAGGGCACACAATAGTTCAATGTTATCACCAATATATTCCACTTATAATGGAGTCTCCATAGCTTGGACCTTCTGGTAGTGCTGTTTTCAACACTGGGCAGTCAAGTTATTTTCCTGAAAAACAACTCCTCTGGACATGGGAGAATTTTGACTCTACTTATCCTAGTACTCAAGATGCAAAATTTGTCTTCCAGCCACTTCTATCCTGGCAGTTAGTCAGTCTCAACCTGGCCTTACACTAGTGAATTCCTCAAACGATTCACTTCTTCACAAGATTTTCCTAGAGAACAACAGCTTGCCTCTCCAGCCTCCAACAATGATAATTCAACCTTCAAGGTTCCTAGTTAACAACCTGCTTCATTTAGTTAGACCTATTTTGTTGCACCTTACTTGCCAAATAATGTCCCTTCAACTGCCAATTATGTTAAACCGCAAGATCTAGCTTGGTATAGGACTTTGGTGCCACTGACCATGTCACTTCGGATGTGAATCACATGCACAATAGCAGACTTATGAAAGGGCCGACCCAGCCCTTTGAGGGTAGGCCCGGGCTGCCCTTAACTTTAAAAAAAAATGTGTAAAGTTTTTTAAGTTTTTTTAAATGTTAGAAAAGTAAAGTTAAAAATATAAAAGTGAGGCTTTGTCTTTTTGCGTTTTCCACTTTTACTTCCCCAATTCCCAACTTCTCTTTTACTGTAATTGTAAAACTCTACAGACTACATGTGACGTGGTTCAACCTGCAAAGAAATTAAAAAAATCTCCCTCTCACTCACGTCCTGAAGGTTAGTTCACTGTTTTAATTTTAAATAGATGGATATTATGTAAGATTGTGTTTAAAATTTTGGGTGCTTTAAGCTTTAAATGTTGGAGAAAGGTCCACCCTTGTCGGCCACTGATTGTGGCTGCCTGGATTTTTGAAGTCATGTAGAAATTGGTTGTGAATATAGTTTTTTTCTGTTTTCGGAAACTTCACTTTTTTATAATAAATATTTGTCTCCTGACTTTACTAATTTACTTACCCTTGGTTTGACAATGCGGCAAGGATGCTTGGTTGGTTTTTAACCATTGTTTCAGTCTTTGCTTAAGAGAATGATGGGGCTACAGCCTACTGTGTGCAATATTTGGATTTTTGAAGTCTTTAGTAAAATTAGTTGCATATAGTTGGATTGGTTATTGAAAAATCTGCTTGTTGCATAATTAAGAATTGTACCCTTTCCCTTTTTGGAGATGCTTGGTCAATTTATAAACATTTGTTTGATTCATTGCTTAAGATAAGATAGCGAAGGGACTATTATTGTTGAAAAAGTAAGATTGACTGGTTGGCTAGAAATATGGGAGAACAGGAAGCAATATTTGGAATTTCAAGTGTCACGAAAATTACAGAAATTTGTGAAAACTTTGCTGGCGTAATTAAATATTAGTCTCCTGATTTTTAAAAGACACACTAACACATATCCTTTTGATTATGAATTTATTTACCCTTGGCTTGCTTTTGTGCCGAGATACTTGGCTGGTTTCTTGTCTTTGTGAAGACATGATTTACCCTTTGGTTTGTAACAATCTATAAAACGAATGGCCCCATCTCTCATTGGATGCAATAAAATTTAAATGTATCATATATGGTGTGTTAAATTAAAATATGTCTTCTGTATCGTGTATCATGTATTTA